GCCCGGCCCGGCTCGGCTCCGTTCGGCCCGGCCCGGCCCGGCTCGGCTCCGCGCGGCTCGGCCCCGCCCCACCCCGCGGGCGGTCACTGCGGCGCAGTCGCGGCGCCGCCATCGCGGGCAGATGCAGGCGATCAAGTGTGTGGTGGTGGGCGACGGGTGAGTGCGGGAGGGGCCGCTCCGGCCGCCCCGCACCAAACGGGCCCGGCGGCGCCGAGGGAAGGAGGGAGGGCTGGCCCGGGCCCGCGTCCCGGGAGAACTGCTCCGCCGGCGGGAGGCCCCGCGCCAGGCAGCGAGGCTCGGTCCGGCCTGGATCGGCGTGGGCCTGGCTCGGGTGGGGCCGGGCCGGGGGCGGCGGGAGCGGGGCCGGCGGGCCCAGCCGCCCTTGGGTCCCGGCGGGAGAGCGGGGCCTTGTCGCGGCCCGCGCAGCCCTGCCCTGCTCCTTTCATAGTTCATGAACTTGGGTGCTGCCTGGGTACCAGACACAGGCTTCTTGTTGGGTTTTACGTTTGCCTCCTTGTTGTTTTATTTAGGTGCCGGTATTTTGCTATTTTTCATTGTACCTGGTTGATTACTGACAGAGTCCTCCCGAAAATCTTGATGTTCACAGGTTTCGTATGTCCTTTTGTTGATTGTTCTGAGGTGAAATGCGTTCCTCTTTCTGATTTCGCCATGTGCTCCTTGTCACCCTTTTTGCTTTTTTCTCTAGGCTCTTCCTAAATGCCTTTTTTAGGGAACACATCTGCCTGCAAGATGCAGGCATGCACTAGATTTATTCTGCTTTGTAACTTTCCTAGCTCATCCTGCATATTTTTCCTCACAATTCCGGTTTACTTTTCTGATCACCTCAGCAAGAACAGAGCTGAGGTACTCAGACCTAAATGTGAACTGGTCTTAGGCAGGGTATTAGCCTTCCTCTTTCTCATGCATGCCACCTCCTCAAATACACATTTGCAGTGAAGCCTTCCAGGTTCCAGCCTGTGAGGACTAAAGGGAGTAGGAGAAAGCACAGCTTTTTTGCAGAGGGGAGAGGAATGACTGGGAGCTCAGGATGTTGAAAATGGGAGTTCAGCTGAAGGTTTACTGTCGTGTGTTTTGCCTTAAGACCAACAGTGCATACTAAAAGAAATTGGAAACACATAGGTACACAGTTTTTTGTGAATTACAAGCTTGTTTGGTGGGAAAGAGAAATAACAGTTCAGGAGGAAAGTTGGACTGATCAATGTAGTGGTTCATGACAAAGCTTCTCTCTTGTCAGACTGAGGGGACCTAATCCAGAGGAAAAGTTGTAATAGTGGTTCATTCTCTCTGTGCTTTCTGTAATCCTGGCGTGTGCAGGGGCCAGTCAACTCTTCTGACATCCTCTCTTAAGTCAGTCTGGCTGCAGAATTGGGTAGGGGATACCAATTTGTGCTAGCTATTCAGCTTCACCCAGGCACCTCACAGTCCGCTTTCACTGGCACTCACAATCTTTTTCTGGAAGGTTGCCTGCAGTTCACAACTTTCTCCATGATAAAGAGGTTGCTCACACTGCTGGTACTCCTCCGTTCTTACTGTGAAGCTCTCTGTTAGGAAGTCTGCAGGGCTGGTTGAAGTCCATGTGCTTATGCTCTTGTCAACCAGGCCTGGCCTGGCCCTTACCAGCTGCCACTGCTGGGCTGACCAATCCCACCAACCTTCAGCAAAGCCCTAAGCTGGTATTTTTATCCATCTTCACTAATCTTTTTCCAAACTGACAGCGGTCAGTTTTAAAGTCCAGTTTTGTTTATGGATTCTTATTTTTTCTCCTTTGTATTTATTGATACTGAACTCCTGTATCTGAGGAGCTTGCAGAATTGTGCATTGTTGCATGTTTTTTAACCTCAGTTTATCCATTTTGCTAAAATTACTATGCATCTGTTGAGCCCAGAACACAACCCTAATTTATTCCCTCTCTTGGTTTGTGGAACAACTATGTTTTAACTGATGTCTTGCTGAGGGCTGAATGGGTAGGGAAAAGGAGTGGCAGAGAGGAGGGTTAGGAAGCACTCAGGCAAGGTGCACCTTTTGAATGAGTTCAGGCCATGATTGTGACAACTAGGGAATTCCAGCCTGGAACAGGTTTGTTTTCTCACATGGTAATTTTTTACCCTACCATGTGTTTTTGGTGGGGGAAGGGTGAGTTTTACTGCCTTAGTGCTCCATGCTGTACCCTTCCTTATGCTTGTCACTCTTACCCTCTGCAGAGCTGTAGGGAAGACCTGCTTGCTGATCAGTTACACCACAAATGCCTTTCCTGGAGAATACATTCCCACCGTGTAAGTAATGGCCTTAAACTTCAGTTGCTTTTTGATCTGTATGCATATATGTGTAAAAGTTGGGTTGGTATGTCAGGAGGTGGCTGTTGCAAATCAGACTGTGAACTTGACAGGTAAGGATGATGCTGTGGCTGTGTGTGTGAGGAAGGCAGACTGCCCCACTGGAACTGTGCTGCAGTATCCTTTCCTGATTCACTGCCCCTTTGAATTCCGTATAGAGATGTGAAGGTCACCACAGAATTGTCACTGATGGGGACTCCTCATTGGCAGGTTTGATAATTATTCTGCCAATGTGATGGTAGATGGAAAGCCAGTGAACCTGGGCCTCTGGGATACAGCAGGGCAAGAAGACTATGACCGACTGCGGCCTCTTTCCTACCCACAGACGGTGAGTGCTGGGCTTGGACTGGCTTGTGACCGCTCCCTCTCGGCAACAGGGTGGCTTCCAAGGACAGGCGTGCTTCTTTCCTTTGAGGAAAGCCTGAGTACCTGCAGCTACACCCATAATTCTGGTTGTTTAAGTAGTATCACAGCTGATTTTCTCCTAAGAAATTGTCCTGTTCTAGTCTCTTCTTTGTAGTGGTCTTTGAAGAGTTATCTTGGGATAACTCAGGGAGGCTCAAGTAAAAGGAATGCTGTAGGGCTGCTGTGCAGCGTAGCTAGTTCCATATTCCCGTTCTCTCTCATCAGGACAGATCCCCATTGGGCTGCCCTAGGAGCGTTTCTGGGTGTAGCAGTTCCTAAGCAGCTGTGCTGCTGGTGAAGCCTTTAGCGCTGTTGATATATTTGAGGCCTCAGGCTCTTAACATGCAGAGCCCAGCAACGTGAAAGATGTAATCATACGCTCAAGGTCCGTTCCTTCCCTTTCTGAATTAGTTTAACACCCTTAATGGGGAAGAATTTCTTAAAGCCACAGCAGTCCTTGCCTGTGGGAGGAGGTTGTCCTTTCTCAGACTCCCTCTGCAGCCTCCCTTTACTCTAGTTGTTTCTTTCTGCACAGCTGACCCTCTTGTTTCTGCACAGGATGTTTTCTTGATCTGCTTCTCCCTTGTGAGTCCAGCCTCCTTTGAGAATGTCAGAGCTAAGGTAAAGTATTCTCCTTCTGGGTGAAACAGTAGAAGGGAAGAACCAGTGATGCTCCCTGCCCCACCCAGCGCCACACCTACAAGCCCAAAACTTCACGCAGTAATGTTTTGGTGAGGGAAAATCATAGTCTGCAGGTTTAAATTGGGACTTGCTTTTTATTCGTGACTTCTTTGGCTAAGTTGCTGCCTTTCTGAATCTGTTTTTTAAGATAAGGGGTGTTTTAGAAGCTAAAACACAGTTAAGGGAAGCACCGTGTGCAGAGTTGGTTGGCAATATCTGTCAGGATTCTGTGTCTCAGTGCCTTCACTATTATATGTGCACCAGTCTCTTTTTGCAGCGCATAGTAGAACTGTAGGCAACAGTGTCTTGTTCAGGTGTTGCCACCATGTCAGTAGTGAACCTCTTCTTCCCAATAGTAGGAATGCATCCTCATGGTTATGGCCACTCCTGTAACCACTTTTCTTATCATGCCTCTCTGTTTCAGTGGTACCCTGAGGTCCGACACCATTGCCCAAATACACCTATTATCCTGGTGGGCACCAAGCTGGACTTGAGGGATGATAAGGACACCATTGAAAGGTTACGTGATAAGAAACTGGCCCCCATCACCTACCCCCAAGGCTTGGCCATGGCTCGGGAAATCGGTGAGTCTCATAAGCAGGCAGATGTCGGTGGCATTGAACTTTGTGAGTGGGTGAGGGACAGTGTATGGTGCTAGAACTGGAGTGGTTGAGCTGGAGCTCTCTTTCCCCAGGGTCGGTAAAGTACCTTGAATGCTCTGCCCTGACACAGCGGGGCTTGAAGACGGTGTTTGATGAAGCCATCCGGGCTGTGCTCTGCCCACCGCCTGTGAAGAAGCCTGGCAAAAAGTGTACCATGTTTTGAGGGCTGTGGCCTAGGTGTTGGCTCAGCATGCTGTCATCCTCTGACAGATTGCGTATTAAGCTGGGTGTTTCTGAAGGGGGCTGGGATGTGTAGGGCCCTTCATCATGTACGAAGTCAGTGTTTTTTAAATGTCTCTTTGATTTAACGTCAGTGTTGATGTGAAGGGGCAGTGGGGACAGGAGACCAGCTGGGGACTATACAGCCTCCAGGGGAGGTACAGTGGGGAAGGCAAGGTAGCTCCTTCGGGCAACAAGCTGTTTCAGCTCTCCTGAACTCCAAGTGGAAAGGGCTGAGACATCCATCCTGTTCTGGAAACACCTGTTTTCAACCTGCAGGTGAAACAGGTGGTGAACATCCTGGTGGGAGTGGGGTGGGAGCTGATTTCAATGGTGCTGAAAGACAAGAATAGCTGGGAGGGTGGTAGAGTCTCCTTATCCAGCCTGCTGTGGCTAACAGTTAAACTGGTGCTCTAGCAGAATGTTCCTGAGACTGTTAAAGAAATCATAACCAGCCCTGGAAGGGGTCAAAGTAAATGAGAAGCTAAAAAATGAATCATTAGGTGCTTTACTGGGTACTAGCCAAACTCTGTGAGTGAAACAGCTCTGTGCAATCAATGCATTTGCCTTTTTGTGTGTGCACACCCTACGTGGTGCTGCTCCCCCCCATTAGTCTTTACCAGGGCCTCCCCCCAAAATCCAGTCTCTGCAGAGCAGGGCTGGGGTTATTGCCTCTATTTTTTTTTTTTCTACTAAAGACAACAAAGGAAGCAGTGAGGAGTCTGCTGACTTCTTTCCCTTCCCACTGAAAATGCAGACAGACTCTGGATTTGAATGGAACAGGGAGAGCTTCTGAAGGGTTGTGGGGGGGGAACAGGGTTGGAAGAAAGGTCCAATTTCTAATCATCATGTAGAGTGACAAGATAAAACCTTATTTGGTGCAATAAACATTCTCCATGAAGGGTGTATGTGAGCTTTATTATATAGCAGCCTTGCAGCTTGATTTTCCGCCTCACTTCTAATACAATCTTGAGTTCTCCTGCCTCTCCAGCAAGAAGTTTTGTATCATTGTTTTCTATCCAGTTTACGTCTAGGCAGTATTCATATGAAAATTGAGGCCAAGTGTGAAACGCAGGTGTCATCTTAGGAGACAAGAAAGCCCCCATCAATCATCAGTGAGCTGCCAGTTGTCATAGCACTCTTGTCACTCAGCAGGAAGAGAATGCTGTTCACCACGTCATCCACCTCTACAATCAAACACAGAGGAGATCTAATGCCCACCTCAAATTGTACCAGAAAAACAAGCACCTAAAAAGGTCTGCCTTTTTTGACCTATACAGGTAATTAGAGCCAGAAAGTGTTTCTGCCGTCAAACTATGTTTGATGAAGTGTCTGGGACAGTGTGGCTGATAGCTGGACATCAAATTGTCTTTGTGATCAAATGGTGTTTAGGTCACAGCAAACACCTGGTCAGGTTTGTGAACAATAGAGTAATTTCATTTCACTTGTCCCAAGATGAGGAGGCTGTAGAAAAAGTGAGAAGAGGGTTGATTCTCATCCAGTCCTGATCAAATACTGCAGGAATTCAGCCAAAAGGCATTCGGCAGAGCTATCGCTTTGTCCAAAAATCAGCAGCTTCTGGCTGTGATGTCAGTGAGAAGGAAGGCTTGGAGAAAACACGGGAGCACAGCCTCGAGACAGACCTACATCACTGACCTGCAAACTTTCCCAGAGGAATCCGATTAATCATGGCAGCAGATTTCTGAGGGTCACTCCAGTTAATTCTTCCCATGTCAGTCATAACCACGGTGGGATTCACAGTGTTCACCCTAATCTGGGACCAGGAGCAACAAACAATCTAACCCAACTGCTCTAGTTGTGCTCAGGTTCAGCTTTCACACTTTTCTCTCACAGAATCCTACCTTGTGGGGTCCCAGTTCCATTGCCATTACTTTGCTCAGCATATCCAAAGCACTTTTTGTGGAACCTTGAAAAGGAGAGAAGAAGAGGAGGTATTTAACTGCATAGCACCTGGTCTGGAACACGTGGGTATTTCACTGCCCAAAAGTGGCAGCTGGCAGCTTGGTGACTGTGGGTCTCCAGCTGGTTAAAGCTGAGAGAGGCACTGCTAAAGCTGCACACACTTACAGTAAACAGCATGATCCCTCAGTGCACGCTTCGATGCCTGGCTGGAGACGTTCACAATAGCCCCTTGCAGCCCCTGTGCGATCATCTGCCGAGCAACTATCTGGGAGGGGAGAGGAGAGGAAAAAAAAAAAAAGGGAATGGCAGGATCCTAACAAGAGAAATCATTATTTCACTCCATAGTAATCTTTCTGGGCTATTATGGTATACCAAAGAACAAAAACAGCTGGAGGAAGCAAGTCCTCAGTGCGAGTGTGAAGAGGTTGTACATGGAGTTTGTTGGATTGACTTTAGACTGCAGTTCTTTCAGCCCACACAGTGGACACATACCCCTGCTATGTACAGTTTAGTCACTGCTATTCATGGAGGCAGCTGCAGTAACAGTTCTTCCTCACCTGGGAAACATGAAGCACAGCTCCAAAATTCACATCAAGAGACCTACAAATAAATCAAATTTAAGTTACAGAGTGGTTGTAGCCCAGCCCAGGGAGCTGTTTTGGGAGGCAGCAGAGGACAAGTGCTCCTGGTCTCTTGGAAACACTGGTGATAATCTAGGACATGGACAGAAATGGCAGAGAGAGCCAGAATGGTCACGTAGGATCTCAGCAATCAACTGGAATCAGCCACTGGCTGCAAGCCTGTTGGTGTGTGGGGAGGTGCAGGCATGCATCAGGTACATTTTACACAGTACTCTGCTCTTATACAGCCTAACGGAATTCCTCTGTCAAAATTTAAACACGGCCGTGGACCTCAGCCAGGGCAGATGACTCTTGGGTCAAGCAAACCCTTCACGCAGATTTATAAAGCAAAGCTGCTGTAAAGTGGGTAGAGGCAGCATTTCTTCTGTTCGCCACGTCGTGCTTCCTGTTGGGCTTCCACCTGCCAGTTCTGCAGAGTGATCTTGGTAGAATCCATACATTTTATGTTCTAGTCACAAACCTTTATTATAAGATTCTCAACAGCCACTTTTAACATAGGGACACAGCATGACCCATTTTCTCAGCAGGATGTGGACTCAAGATAGCCTAAAGCGTACCCACAATAAAACTCTGGAGCTTTTCACAGAAAAAAGATATCATGTTATTGTAGTTAGAAAATTTAATTTCCCACCATGACTATTTTTTGCTTCCTTACCTGGCTTTGTTGTCTCTATTTCTGAATTGTCTTAGCAACACCTGCCTTTCAGCATCACCGAGCTGGAGCTAGACTGGAAGCTCTGAGCCTGATGAGCAGCAAAGGCACTCTCCTCCAACGCCAGTGGGATGGCAGGTGCACCCCACCATTCTGGAGGTGTCACTGCAGGTTCTGGCTACTTAGAAATTGATGTAAGAGCCAGTGCTTTGCTTCCTTTTGCTGTTTAAGGGGTGAAAGGTGATGATGTAAAGAATGAAAAGACAGTGAAGAAAAAGGACATATGCAGTAACAATCGATCAACACTGGGCATTGCTGGAAGTGTGCATGCCAGCCTGTCTGGTGTCTGCACACCAGTTGCTGTCCTTGTTTTTTCCAGCTGCTTCCCCTGCAATAACAGCCCTTTCTGGAAAGCTCTGTCGCCGTTTTTGACGTTCACAACTTTGTGACGACTTGGCGGGCATCCTCGGCTCCAGCGCTCCCCCGTGGAGTTGCGCTCCGGTGCGGGAGCCGCCTGGGGGGCCGGGGCCGGGCACTCACCGCTGCAAGGCCGAGCGCGTCACCTCCAGGAACGGCTGCAGCTCCGCCACGGCCGCGTTGTTAACCAGCAGCTCGAACGGCCCCGCCGCGCCCACCGCCGCCTCCACAGCCTCCCAGTCCGCCAGGTCCAGGCAGAGGGTCTCGATGCCCGGGCACTGCGGCGAGGGCGGCCGCGGTGGGCGGGAGGCCGCGAGCGAGCCCGGGGGCGCGGTGCGGGCTTGGGGGGCAGGAGGAGGGGGCCGGTACCTCCCGCGTCAGGCTCTCCAAGTCCGCTCCCGTCCGGCTCAGCGCGGTCACGCGGGCCCCGGCCCTGCTCAGCGCCACGGCCACGGCGCGACCGATCCCTGCGGGGAGACGGCGTCAGGCTCGCCCCAGCCTGGCCCCTGCCCCCGGCCCTCCGCCCGCGGTCACCTTTGCCGGCCCCAGTCACCAGGGCCCGCCGTCCGCGGAAGCTGAGATGCGGCTCCATGTTTCGGCTGGACTGTGGCCGGGGCGGGCCCGAGGCCGGGGCCGAGCGGGGCGGGCCCGAGGCCGGGGCCGAGCGGGGCGGGCCCGAGGCCGGGGCCGAGCGGGGCGGGCCCGA